CAGACACTCGCTTTGGTATGAAGGTGCGCTGTCTCCTATTGGAAACATCTATCCTTTCTCCTTCTCCTTTTCAGTGTTTCCTGATCATCTCTGTTTACACTCCACTTCTCCACGTGGATGGAAGTGAGAGAGTCTTGGTGCCATAACATCTACTGGTTCTGAAAGCCCTGCAATTGTAGCTGACCGCTTATGTCACTGGAAGCTGTACTAATGAGATATTAAGGCAGTGATGCAAGATGGATTTGGGATCTTCCAACCAATTTGTTCTTTTGAGAGGGGTGTCCTGTCTTTCTCATTTATATCCTAACTAGGATACATTAACGCCAAGGACATGCCTTGTAGGGTAGGAAGGATTGACAGTGCTGGGAACTGAAGTCCTCAAATCATCCATAGAGACCACAAGATTGTCTGGATTTCTCACCAATGTGTCTCGCTCCTGACCTGGCAGGACCAGCTCAAGAGATAGGCTAGTTCAGTCTCCCCAGTCCAGTTCAGTCCTTGGTCTCTCTGAGGCTCTTACCAGCTGTGATTTTGGTTTTTTCTTCAATAATTGTTATTGTGCAGAAAATAACTGTTCATAAATGTAATGGGGGAAGCAGTACTGAAAAATGTTGCACAACGTTTTATACTTGCTGCTATGTGAAGATTTGAAAGGGCTGCATCATGGCTGATCTGAGCTGATGTTATCCCACTGTGGGTATGTGTTCTGGGGAACTTGGGCTGAGATCACCAAACTCATGTCTCATAGGAGCTCTCATCAATACTATCTGCTGACACCCTTTGGCCACTGCTGCCTAGAGGTACATTCAGACTGGTCACCTAGAGGTGAAAGTCTTTGGATTCCATTAGCAATCCCCTAAACCATGCAGTCTCGCACTGAGTCTCGTATTTAGACTTTCTCTTCCTGAAGTCTGTGACTTCTAAACCACTGTTCCATTTGTTTATTTATAAATGCTCTGTGGTTTCTTGAAGCGTGGTTTGCTGTCTCGGGAGATCTTGCGGCAAATGGAGGACGCAGGAACAGTTCCCCACTGCATGTTCCTGACATCTCTTCTCTTTTATTTGCTCTCCCTCTCTCAGATAATTGATGTCAGTGACGTGTTTAGGAGTGTGGAAATCGGATTTGTGCAGAATGCTGTCAACAAGCCCCAAGGCACTGTCAAAGCCATTTGTATTCCTCAGGGAGTGGTGAGTGGTGTAGTTCTGTATTGTTAGTGGCAAAGCACAGTGTAAAGAAAGTAAATTTTAGAAATTAATAAATTCTATTGATTTAAGTTTATCCTTAATAACAATCCCTCTGTCACAGTGTGACTGGCCCATTTCTGGAGACATTGGCCTAGTCCCACCTTTGATTAGTTGCCTCTCAGCTGAGGTTGTGGTGTTAGGTCATCAGGTAATAGTGTGAAGAGCATCTGGAGCTGAGAGAGGCCAAGCGGAAAAGCCTCTGGGGACTGCAGCCTGCTTTGGTTAGAGGAGAAGTTTTTGTTTTGGGTTTGAATAATAAATTGTGCCCAGAGGCAAGAGTCTGAAATAGGGCAAGGCATCACTCCTTCCTGGACTGGTGAGACAGACACACAGATAACATAGGGTGACCAGATATCCCAATTTTATAGGGACAGTCCCAATTTTGGGGTCTTTTTCTTATATAGGTTCCTATTACCCCCCACCCCCTGTCCTGATTTTTCACACTTGCTGTCTGGTAACCCTAAGATAACAGCTCCCTCCAATGTGGGCGTTTGTTACCTGTGTGGAGATCATTAATACAGTACCTCATAACAATAAGGTCAAAGATCAAATCCAAGCTTGACTGTAAATCTAGAAGTAATTGTTACTTTGTTTTATTTATATATTTCTATATAAAAAAATTAATTGTGATTAATTGCAGTTTTAATCGCACTGTTAAACAATAGAATACCAATTGAAATTTATTAAATATTTTTGGATGTTTTTCTACATTTTTTAATATACTGATTTCAATTGCAACACAGATTACAAAGTGTACAGTGCTCACTTTATATTATTTTTATTACAAATATTTGCACTGTTAAAAAATGATAAAAGAAATAGTATTTTTCAATTCACCTCATACAAATACTGTAGTGCGATCTTTTTATCATGAAGGTGCAACTTAATTTTTTTTTGTTACATAACTGAACTCAAAAACAAAACAATGTAAAACTTTAGAGCCTACAAGTCCACTCAGTCCTCCTGGTTCAGCCAATTGCGAAGACAAACAAGTATGTTTACATTTACAGGAGATAATACTGCCTGCTTCTTATTTACAAAGTCACCTGAAAGTGAGAACAGACATTCAAATGGCACTTTTGTAGCCAGCATTGCAAGGTATTTATATGCCAGATATGCTAAACATTCGTATGCCCCTTCATGCTTCCGTGCCACCATTCCAGAGGACATGCTTCCATGCTGATGATGCTCATTAAAAAAAGAATGCGTTAATTACATAGTGACTGAACTCCTTGCGGGAGAATTGTATGTCTCCTGATCTGTTTTACCCTCATTCTGCCGTATATTTCATATTAAGCAATTTCGTATGATGACCCACCACATGTTGTTTGTTTTAAGAACACTTTCACTGTAGATTTGACAAAATGCAAAGAAGGTACCAATGTGAGATTTGTAATGATAGCTACAGCATTTGAACCAAGGTTTAAGAATCTGAAATGCCTTCCAAAATCTGAGAGGGATGAGGTGTGGAGCATGCTTTCAAAAGTCTTAAAAGAGCAACACTCCAGTGCAGAAACTACAGAACCCAAACCACCAAAAAAGAAAATAAATCTTCTGCAGGTGGTATCTGACTCAGATGATGTAAATGAACATGCATCTGTCCACACTGCTTTGGATCGTTATCAAGCAGAATCCATCATCAGCAAGGATGCATGTCCTCTGGAATGGTGGTTAAAACATGAAGGGACATATGAATCTTTAGTGCATCTGGCATGTAAATATCTTGTGACACTGGCTACAACAGTGCCATGCGAACACCTGTTCTCACTTTCAGGTGACACTGTAAACAAGAAGAGGGCAGCAAATCTCCTGCAAATGTAAACAAACTAGTTTGTCTCAGCGAGTGGCTGAACAAAATGTAGGACTAAGTGGACTTGTAGGCTCTAAAGTTTTACATTGTTTTGTTTTTGAATGCCGTTCTTTTTATATACATAATTCTACATTTGTAAGTTCAACTTTAATGATAAGAGATTGCACTACAGTACTTGTATGAGTTGAATTGAAAAATGCTATTTCTATTGTTTTTTTTACAGTGCAAATATTTGTAATCAAAAATAAATATAAAGTGAGCACTGTACACTTTGTATTCTGTGTTGTAATTGAAATCAATATATTTGAAAATGTAGAAAATATCCAAAATATTTAAATAAATGGTATTCTATTATCATTTCACAGTGCGATTAATGGCGCAATTAATGTTTTTAATTGCTTGACAGGCCTTGTATATGTTGCAATTGCATCTACATAAACAGTCAAGTAAGTGAGTTAGTTGAAGTGTCTTAAGAATTCAGTAGCTATGGGAGAATACTGTGTGTGTGTGCATAATTGAGCTGCGCATATTTTTAATTTTTTGCTCAGAAAAAAGCTGCCAAAATGTTGCTGCAGTTCTGCCTTTTGTCCACCAGAGGGCGTTGTGGTTATAGAACACAGCAGCAGCTCCTGGCCTGCTAGGGAAGAGAAAGAGCCTTCCTTCTTCGCAGCACCTGTCAGGCCAGGTCAGGAGACAGAGGCTACAGGGAGACAGACAGTGTGGGGTGCTGGGGAGGTCAGACAGGCTTATAAGGGCTAATGGGGAAGGACAGACTAGGGCAGGAGCTGAATGGGAGTGGAAGCACAGGGCCACGTGGGGGAGGGAGGTGCAGGGCCACATGGTGATGGGGGAGGGTGTGCAGAGCTACATAGGGACAGAGGGTGGCTGAGTGGGGGCATAGAGACACATAGGGACAGGGGAAGGGGGTGCAGGGACACATGGGGATGGGGGAGTGGGTGTCTGAGTGGGGGTGGAGGGACATATAGGGATGTAGGAACACATGGGGACAGGGGCAGATGTGCCTGACTGAATGGGAAAGGCTTGGGGTCAGCCCGGGTCTGCATGGGGGAAGCTCCTTTAACAATCCCTCCCTGCCCCTCCCAAAAAACCTGTTCCATACTTTCCCCACCCATACCCAAAAACCCTGCAAATTCACACCCAGGCTCCTACCCAGCAATTTATTTCACTCTCCCTCAGCTCCTCCATTACCCCTGACTCTCTCAAGCCTTTGCACTGCTTCTGAGGGGTGTGGGATATACAGTTCTGTATTGGAGTTTAAATGAATTATTACTCAGAGTTCTGTATTAATATGCCTAGTAAGGAATCATTTGTCAAAAACCATATCCTGAATCTTTTTTGTTGTCTGTATTGTTACAGACATACTTGCTGACAAGTATTTTGAAATAAATGACCAAAAATAATTGAAATTGGTGTGATTATATTGTGTTATTTTGACAAATATGTGGAATTTTGCAGAATTTTAAAATACTGTGCACAGAATTTTTAATTTTTTGGTGCAGAATTCCCCTGGGAGTTATATATGGGCATGACTTTCAACTCCTAATAATCTAGGAGGAATTAGTATTTAAGAGTTGATGCACTGTGAATCTCCAAATTATACCTGACTGTTTTGTAACACATGGGCTTGAACAACAGTTGTGCAAGAAAAGTGAAAGGGTGCAAGGGGTTTGCAAAGTAGTAGTAGGGATACCCCTCTTACAAAAATACAACAATATCTAGCTTCTATATAGCATTTTTCATCCATAGATCTCAAAGCATTTTACAAAGGAGGGCACTATCAAATAAGTTTATCATGTGATAAAATGTATGTTGGGTACAGAGGGTGGTAGATTCTGATTTATCTCTTTGCACTCTTGCTGCACAGGCTCTCTGGGGCTCTCCAGCCACAGTTTCTCACTAAAGGTACGTTTCTTCTTCTGTTCGACTTCCGCCATCTTGGCCGAGACGCGGCCAAGATGGCAGAAGTCGAACAGAAGAAGAAACCTACCTTTAGGAAATTCACCTACAGAGGTGTCGATCTGGATCAGCTCCTCGATATGTCCTACGAGCAGCTGATGCAGCTGTACAGTGCTCGCCAGCATAGGCGTCTGAACCGCGGCCTGCATCGTAAGCAGCATTCCCTCCTGAAGCGCCTTCGCAAGGCCAAGAAGGAGGCCCCTCCCATGGAGAAGCCAGAGGTAGTCAAAACTCACCTGCGCGACATGATCATCCTCCCCGAGATGGTGGGCAGCATGGTCGGCGTATACAACGGCAAAACCTTCAACCAGGTGGAAATCAAGCCCGAGATGATTGGCCACTACCTGGGCGAGTTTTCCATCACTTACAAGCCAGTGAAACATGGCAGACCTGGTATTGGTGCCACCCACTCATCTAGGTTCATTCCTCTGAAGTAAATGATGCTTTGGGAAAATAGTTTCTCACTAGTTATTGTTAGTTTGGCAGTGAAAGGCGCAAGACTGTGGCACCCCATTAGGTGGTGCTGTGGTGTGTATTTTAAAAAAACAAAAATGTAATGTTGATCATGTCTCCCAAAAAAGTAATTCTGAAATCAAGGGCTTCATGGATGAAAGTGAGCTGAGCCACTGGATTCAGTTTCTGACTTGACTTACAACAGTTATAACTGTTTAATGTGTCTATTTTTCCCCTTTTTTTCCAGAGACATCTTCAAAATAAAGATTTTGAGTCTTTAAAGGAATCTGCAAAATCCCAGTTTAATCAGGTGAGGCACAAACACTTCTACACTGTAAAGAGTTCATCTGAAAGGGACAGGTAAAATGCATAAAGTGTTGCGTGGAATTTGCAAGCAGATACTAGATAGAAAAGTGAGTTAAGTTTTCCACCTTGTGTACAGTAACTCCTCACTTACCGTCCTCCCGCTTAACGTTGTTTCGAAGTTACATTGCTGCTCCATTAGGGAACATACTCGTTTAAAGTTGTGCAATGCTCCCTTATAACATCGTTTGGCTGACTTTACAAGGGAGCATTGCACAAGTTCCTCTTCTCTGTCTACTCCCTCCCAGCGCTTCTCCCGCTGCCAAACAGCTGTTTGGCAGTGCTTAGGACTTTCTGGGAGGGAGTGAGCAAGCAGGGAAGCTGTCCGTCCGTCCCGTCATCCGTCTCTTCCCGCCTCCCCGGTAGGCAGGGCCACCCGGAACGCAGGGGCTTTAGGGGCTGCAGGGCCCTGGGCTAAGGGGGCCCTGGCCTGCGGCTCTAAAGCCCCTTTCGGCCTGCGGCTCTGCAAGCACGGGCCAGAGGACTCGGGAGGTGCAGGGACAGCCGTGCAGCCAGCAGCCGGAGAGAAGTGGCGCTTTCCCCTTCAAAGCACCGCTTCTCTCTGACTGGCTTTCAAGCCGCAGGCCAGGGCTCCGGGGTCCCCTTAGCCCAGGGTCCTGCAGCCCGTAAAGCCCCTGCGTTCCAGGTGGCCCTGCCTGTGGTGGGGGGAAGGGGGATAGCTCCCAGAATCATGGTCATGGGGGTAGTGCTGCGCTGCACAGAGCCACCTGCACACCCCCTGCACCAAACAGGAGCAGCCCCAGGTAAGTGCTCTGCACCTCCTGCCTGCCCCAGCCCTGAGCCTCCTCCCGCACCCTGAGTGCCCTCCCACACCTTAACTCTCTCCCAGACCCTGCACCCCCAGCCCTGAGCCCCAGGGGTAAGCCTGGGGCACCTCCACAGTACAGTACTGTACAGTATATAATGTCTTTTATCTGCCCCCAAAAAATTTCCTTGGAACCTAACCCCCTGCATTTACATTAAATCTTATGGGGAAATTGGATTAGTTTAACATGGTTTCACTTAAAGTTGCATTTTTCAAGTACATAACTACAATTTGTCTGTTGAAGGTAAATAGCCAGGCAGCTGTCTGTGTTGCATTGTGCACTGCATAATGGTTTTGCGTCTTCCTACAGTGCCCTTGAGTATTCTAGTAAATGAGATTTTATGTTAGGTAGTTTTATAGGATATAAGAACTTCAGGATGTAGGAGGTTTTTAATAATGCATCCTCTGCTGAGAGAGAAAGAGACAGTCTCTCAGCAACACAAAGACAAGGAACGACCTGATCAGTTGTGTGGATGTACTGCAGGAACTGAACGTGCTTCACATCTGTGCCTGTCTTTTGCAATAGGAAGTTTTACACTTGATCCTGAAGCCTTATGAGAGCTTGAAGTCTCCACTCAGTAAGTTTCTCAGTGTGGAGCAGCATTCGGAACTCATCCAAGCACTGAAGGTCCAGGCAGATGATGTGGTGCTGCTGGCAGCTGGAGAGCATGAAAAAGTGGTAGGGAAAACCCTGGCTGTCTTTGAGGACTGAACATTGCTGTCTGTTAATATTAATACCTAGCATATCTGTAATTCCTTCCACCTGAGGATCTCAGAGCACGCTGCAAAGATTAATGAATGAAGTCCCACAACCCCCTGTGAGAGAGGTGCTGTGAACTCATTTTCACAGATGGGGAGAGGGAGGCACTGAGAGATGAAGTGACTTGCCCCAAATCATACATCCAGAGCAGAGCTGGGAAGAAAACCTGGATAAATGTAAATGTGTTCTCTTCCAAGCAGCAGAAGCAGGTGACAAGGTGTGTGGTTATGCAAAGTGCTTCCACTATCCAGAGTTGTGAGGCACAAGCCCAAAGAGAGCAACCATTTTTCTCTCTAGCTCACTCTGTGAATTCAGGGTACTGTAGCTAAAGAGAGCCCTCCCCCCCCCACCTCCTCCTTAGGAAGTCCTTTCCTCAAAGCAAGGATAGTATCTCTTTTATGCAAATGTGATTTTAAATGAGTGTACGATTCTCAACAGAGACTAATGATCTCAGCTACAGCTCTGATGTAGGGATTATAGTTAAACACTCTGAATTTCCTCTAATCCTAACATGGGAATACAAAGTAAGTACACCTTGCAACTAGGATCTTAATGCTTGTGTTAGTCAGCTGTAAGAAAGGTTTTACAATAGAAAACATACCAGTCAAGGTTATGAAAACCACACTAATTCATGTTTAAAAATCAGTTCTGGTCCTGGAACCAGATTCTCAGCTCATGCAAATCGATATAATGAAGTTTTATATCGCTTGCGTCAGCAGAGGATCTGACCCTGATGTGTATGTCAGGATACTCCCATTAAGTATTATTTCTGAAAACTGTGCTTGCAATTCTTGCTGTTGCTGATTAGGGAGGCAGTGTTGTATCTAGTTGTTAGAACCAGAAAGCTGTGAGTTCGTTTTGGATTCTATTCCTGGCTTTGCCATTAACATATTCTGGACCTTGTGTGAGCTTGCCCTGCCTCCAGGGCTGGCTCCAGGCACCAGCGAAGGAAGCAGGTGCCTGGGGTGGCCAATAGAAAGGGGCGGCAGTCCGTCCGTTGTTGGGGCGGCACGTCTGGGTCTGCGGCAGCAAGTCGGCGGTGGGTCCTTCAGTGCCTCGCTTCCTCTTTGGCGGCACTTCGGCGGCATGTCAGCAGCCGTTCAATCGGGTTTTTCTTTTCTTTTTTTTTCTTTGCCGCTTGGGGCGGCAAAAAAACTGGAGCCGGCCCTGCCTGCCTCTCTGTGCCTCCATTTCCTGATATGTAAAATGGGGATAATATGGCTGACTTAACTCACAAAAGTGTTGTGAGAAGTAAATAATGTTTGTGCAGTGCTTTGAGATCCATGCACGAAAGATGCAATAGAAGGGCAGAGTGTTCTTTTTTTTTTTTTTTTTTTGTCTGTGAATCACTGTGGTTGGCCAGGCATTGCCCCAATGAGACTGGAGCATTCGGGAAAAATGAACTGACCGAAGCCGGTACAACCGTTCTAAGCAAAGTCATGAATGCCGAGG